TAAATCAACGTCTCTTCTTTTCTTAATTTGACTAGTTTAATAATGCTAAAATTTAATTGGACCTAAGAGGAAGCTTTGCACGTTTAACTCCATATTTAATTGTTCAACTTTTCTGTAATTTTCTGTGAGATTTCTGCTGCAGGATCAGGCCAGATTTTCTTCATTTCTATTATAAATCAGGTTTTCTATGGATAAATTATTTGAAGACTAAATAATAGCAGCAAACTGGCTTCTCATGACCTCCATGCTTTAGTTCTGGAGCGATTCAAATCACCAGTCGGTGTTTGTGCTGCTGAAACCCCAATGATTTTAAAAACAACCCCATAATTCTGCATTCCTCTTATTGATGTATCTTTTAAAATAAAAAAGGTTCTCTTTTATTTATCTAATCTACAGCAGTTAAATTTTATATACTGCTCTGTTTACTTGCTCTAAAAACATTCTAAATGACTTCGTTTCGAGTAAATTCTGGATGCTACCCACTCAGGACACTTGGAATACATTGGACGAACAGTATGGAGGAATATTGACACGTTTTTTGTGGACTTTTATGGACCTTTCTGCCTCGGGCGCCATAGACCTCCATTATTTGAATGTCAGCAGACAGCAAGAAGCCTCCCAGATCTCCAGATGCATTTGAGATATCAAAAAAGTACTCCAGAGTGTTGTTCAGCATGGGGGTGAGTAGAAACTGAAGGCTAATCATGTTTTGGGTGTACTATTCCTTTAACGTCACATTGGAAAACCTCAGCTCAGGTCTGACTCTGACAGCTGGAAACAGGCAGCACCTTTCTACTTATTCTACTTCTTATCGCTTTGCAATGATGGGCTTCAATGGGTAAATATCACCACTTTCACATTTTAATAACAGAAAGCACCAATAATATTCAAATTTGAAATGTAACAAGCGCAGATAACCCAGAGGAAGATCAGTGTGAGGGTGAATACAGAGAGTAAAGACAACCGTAATCCTCTATTCTATAACCATAGCTCTACCATGTTTACGTCCCCATGAGTCATTCAGATTCAGTATGCATCTAATTACCAGATAAAATAGAGCATGAAGATGAAATAAATTGCTCTCAGCAGAGATGTTGATTATTTATTAACTAAATTCATCCTTCTGTCTTTGTGCAGGAAGTCTTAGTATCTCCATTTACTTTCAGCCATTGAGGCCAGAAACACTTTGAACAAAAGCAAATCTAGAATGTAGATCATCACTAGCTTAACTTGGCTGCAAACATTTAGCTCTAACTGACCAATCAGAGCACAGAAAGTGATTGGTTGAAGAAAATGTTTCTCACTAATATTGTTAAAGTCGTAGGGAAATCATGTTTAACTTTAAAATCCTTCCGGTTTAAAAGGAAACGCCGTTTTTTTTTCCATTGGTCCTTGATTTTCTGTTATTCCATCATGTTCTACTCTCCCATATGAGTTTAGTGTCATTTGGACACCAGACATCCGCCGTTAGATTTTTATTTTTATAATTTTTTTCAAAAACAAAGTGGAGCGTGTATGACGTCATCCGCGTGGCGGACTGGAGTTGTGACAGGCAGCCCGGGCCACAGGCGGCTACGCTCTACCCCTTCTATTCATTCTAGCTAATCTGAATCATTCAATTCCATTTGGAGAGCGAGATCATCTGTGGTAGCAGCACTAGACATCTTCCAGGCATGTGAGGAAAACTAGCAGCAGTTCAGAGAACAGGATGAATGAACGGTAGCGGTTATATATAAAGATATAAATATAAAAATCTAACGGCGGATTTTGCTGGTATGCTTTTGCACCATCGGTCTGGAATTTCTAGGGACGAACAGCAGATTCCCACCAAAGCGCAATGGGGAGCCTATTCGAGAACTCGCAAGAACTTCGGAGGATGGTCACGAGAACTTCAGTGGCGCCTGCGGGACAGTTTATCTTCCAAAACAACAATGACACATCTGCAAGATATCACGGTCATGGAGATGGATCTAGAGTTGCTAGACATCCAAGAGGAACAGGTTCTGTTAACGGAGTTGGCAAAAAACCTATTAACCTTTTGCCATAGGTTGTCCATTGTAGTTGTTCCTCGTTTTTTTTAAATGGTGCGCCCCGGGACCTGATCAAGAAGGATGACCACAGCTGGAAAGGCCTACCTAGGACCAATCAAAGCTGCTTTTTTTCTGCGCACCTACGCTTGAGGTCTGCGTGGGTTTGCGACTGTCTGACGCATAGTCAGGATTTTTTTGAGGTGCCCAACGACTTTTGTAGAACCTCTGCGGGGGGGCGTGGTCGCGCACAGAGACAGATTTGACAGTTGCAGAGGCTATGCGTCAGTCACCAATTTAGTGCTACTTGGTCCCAATGTAATTTCCCATTGGGAACCTGCTAGCACTAAGTTGCTAACTGGTTAGCAAGATGCTTCCGAGACACAGGCCACAACCAAACCTGCTTGAGAATCACCCACAACAACAGTTTCTGCCCCTTGATAAACGACCAATCACAATCACTTCATTCACTCATGTAAAGTCGGGCACCACTCGGGACAATTCGGAAATGCAACAGCCGCTTCCCTACGACTTTAAAGTAACATCAGTAGCACTGCTGATCAGTTATTTTAATTTTTTCAAAAATACTTCTGCTGCCTGATCATGCTGTTGTGTGTTACAGGAAGACCTTACTCTTATGTACATATATTTATTTATATATTTATGTAAATAAAGTCCTTTATTTATGTATATGTAAATAAAATGCTAGCTCAAAGACTTTTTGAAGGCACTTTATTTCTATATATTATTCCTTTATCCAGACAGACTTCTTTGGCACTAAACAAACAAAATCCTGTTATTTTTTTCCACTTTGTTGTTCTTTATCAGAACTGATGAGCTTTCCTTGTTTTAGACTTTGACAGCTGCCTGACTATAAGGCACTACTTTTAAATAAGAACAGCTTTATCTTGGGTCAAGGCTTTTGCTTGACTGTTGCATTTCAGCTCTCTGACCTTCCCTATAGACTGCAAGGTTCTCCGCTTATATCATGTCGAAGAGTTTCCTTCACCCTACTGTTGGACGCAGAGCTGTGACTGAGACTGACAGCAGAAAAGTTCAGAGTTCACCCCTCTGGCATTACTATAAACGGACACAGTTGAAGCTGTTGGGTTAAATCTCTCCACCTCCTCTCTTGTCTGTCTCCGTCTTTCTTCTCCCTCTCTGTGTAATATGATATAGATTCAATTAGGCTGCAGTGCAACACATGCTCCCTTTAGCCCATCTTGAACCAGGTGCTGTCATGCTAGACCATCTTCAGAGATTGCTGTAGAGACCTTTCCATTTTAAAAACCTAAGAGTAAATTCTACTGTTCAAAAAATGGCCAAAAATGCACATGGTTACATGGCTGTAAAGGTTTGCTTCAGATGATCTCTTTGGATATTGGAATCTCTCCCTGCTGTGTTAAAGGTTTGCAGAGAACAGAGATATCTAAGGCATACCTGCTGCTCTGGAAGCTTTTTTTAAATGTTTAATTTGGTCGCCTGTTGTCTTTTTTTCTGTTCCTCTCATCTCATCCCGGTGTGGAATAGATTTACTCTTATTCTTCTGTGCTTATTTTCGCTGTTTTATTTTCTCTATTTTAATGCTCCTATTCCTGTCTTGATCTCTCCTAAGCCCAGAACACAATGAATCCGATCTGACAGAAAATTGTGCCTTAGAAAAGGGATAAAGCAGTGATCCTCTTTGAGCCTCACAGAAACCAGAATAAGGAGAAGCAGACAGAGCAGGTCAGCGCAGCGTATCTCTCTCACCTCTTTATGGAAAAAGAAAAACTCAGATAAACTTCCCAGATCTCTCTTGGAATCACCTCTCTCCCTCGGTCACCATAGAAACCGTCCCACACCGTTTATTGCTGCGTTTGTCTTTTCTTTACACATAGAGCTCATTATGTTTTCAATAGATGGACATTATCTATCTGTTCTGGTTCTAGATGCTGCACAGACTCCTTAAGTGGAGCTTTGCTTGTCTCAATGTGTCCAAGTCGAATGTGGGAATTTGTTTTAATATGTGTATAGCACAGAGACAGAAGTGAAAAAAACCTGATTAAGATTAAGAAAAGATTAAAATCTCAGACACATCTGGGGTGTTCAGGGCTTTAGTTTCCCTCCCCTCTTTTTTTCTCATTGTCATGATTTCGGGGGCGGATGACAGGCTTTATTGTCCATTTCATTCCCCTGCTAGCTCCACCCAGTTTCTCATTACCGCTCATCTGTATCACCTGCTCCACTCTCTATTTAACCTGCCTGCTTCCAGTCACCAGTGCCAAATTATTCGGTGAGAGTCTCCTAGCGAGTATTAGTGTTTTCTGATTGCTTGATCCTGACCCGTCCTGCCTTTTGACCTCTGAGCCTGCCTGTTTACGTTCTGATCTGTTTGCTTGACCTGTCCTCAGAATCTTGCTTGATTCTGACTGTTTATGTAACCTTGAACTGCTTCCTGACACTTTTCTGAATCCCTGATCTCCAGGTTCTAAATCCTGGGAACCTCCTTGAAACCAACTTTGGCTTCGCCCTCTAGATTATCCAGCCTTCCTTTGTCTGCTCGGACCTGATTCCCTGCCTGTTAGCTAACCTCGTCCTCTGGGCACGGACTAAACATTGAGAACAGAGGTTCCTGCCTTAGACGCCCACGCTGTTCTCTGCAGATTTTTATCACTTTAAATAAAAACACTGGTTTAGATATGTCTGCCTTAAATACTGGCTCCTCTGTTCTGAGCTTTGACATTCACCTCCCTTTCCTTCTCTGTTGTATATAATTTTACTTCCCAAATCATTCTTCAATAAAGTTTAACTTTTAAAGTTAAACCCAATCCGGGTTTTAGTCTAAGATACCTCAAACTTTTGACCCTGGACTAGTTGTGTAATGTTTAAAAGGTCTTACTGTTCTTAATTAATCATAATAATCAAGCACCTTCTATCTGACTCAAATAAGTCTCAATGTCAGCTATTTACAAAATTGTTCTCCACTGATTTTTTTTTCTTCAAAAGTTCAACTTATGTTTTAACGTGATATTTTCAAAGGCTCTGTAGCAGCAGCTTTGGTTCTACGTCTAACACGGGTAAAAGCAAATGGTACTTATCTGTAAAATTACTGCAGCAAAGATTTAAAAGAAGTCTGGAGAAATTAGTATAGATATGCCTGATAGGAAGGAAAGTCAGAACATTAAATCAGCTGATTCTAACCACCTGCATGGTGTATTCCTCAAAGGAAGAGCTTGTCAGGTTATAGCAAAGCTAAAGGTTGGTTTATGCGTGACATCTCTGCAAGGCCTAATTATGTCATTTTAGCATCCATGCTCCTCAGCACAGCCTGACATTTCTGCACCACTCTGATGAAAGAATTTTAACATTTCAATGTGGAAAAACATAGTGGACAAAAAACAACTCCTACTGACGGGGGTTCATATATAAAAACATCTATTAACATCTATGATTTGGCCCATAAATATCATCACCATCTACAGATTGTGAAACTTTTGGAAAGAAGTTACTTTTGGGTGACACAGAGAGGCACTGAAAATGCTGGAAACAGCTGAGGGATGATGTATGCTTGCGGTCTGTCCCTACACTGCCCTCTAGAGTCCACCAGAATATTGGTACGTGGAGGAACAATGTAAACAAACCTGAAGAATGCGAGGTGAATGCAGGAAATGCTGTGTCTGATTTTCTGCTAAGATGTGTTCTATAAACCTTTTTCTAAAGCTCCTCCAGATCCACCTCCGATTAGAAAAGGAGAAGCATGATTTTTCACCTGCTTCACAAAAAGTGCCGCATTACTTTTAATTTCTATTTTGCATACAAAGCTTCTGACAAATTTCCTTTTCCACCCACTCCCAATAGAAAAACATCAAACATTTCAGCCCTTTCAATGATAACTTATTCGTTTTTCAAGCTGTGCAAAGAATACATCGAAAGATAGGGTTTCACTCTGTAGCAGCATATGTCTGATAAATAAGAAATGAAAACATAAATAAAATGTTAAGTATATTGACTGTCCCTCAGTGAAAATACATCCACTCCTATAAAAATACAAAACAAATGTAAAACATAAATAAAAACAACTGAAAATGTACATAATAAAATATCAAATACGATACACTTACAAAAAGCTTTAAATGAAAGTGCATCATAGCTTGGAGAAGCCCCCCGCTTTCTCCCACCCCAACGTTCACTATTGTTGTGACGTTCATTTAGATTCTGGGCAAGAAATGTGTGACTGTCATAGCCGGAGACACTCTGTTTCCTCTCTTAGTTTTGCCATTCTTACTGAGGCCAATGAACATCCTCGGGTAGACTACCGATTCATAGGCGTTGTAGTTGTTGGCCAGGAGCTTCTCTCTGAACTTGCACTCGTCACTGTAGTGTAACTGCAACAGAAAAGAGATTCTTTAGAAAATGCTAATTGTGTGAAGGAAGGCAGAAATGAAACAAAGAGGCCAAGACATTTTTGGTTTGCATTGTTGTTGTGATTTCTATCAAACAATTGTGTTATTTCTGACTGCAGGGTTATTATTGTGAAGCAGCCTTTTCAGTCTGACTTTACACAAAAAAATCTGATTGTGAAAAGTTGAATGAGGCAAGTGGGGCTGGACACTGGATTCTGAGCCTGTTGTGTTGTGTTTTGTTTTTTGTCTACTGGTTAAGGACCAAAATGTTTTGATGTGCATTCTTCGACTGCATGCCAATAAATGCAGATATTAATCTAGAGCTATTTTGCTCTAGTCTTTATGAAGCAGGCTCTAACCTCTACCTTAGTTTGTTTAGGAGGCAAATACAAGAAACCTTATAAAGGTTGTAAACACATTCTTCTGTTCCATCATCAAAATATGTTTAACACCTCCACAGATAACCCCATCCAGGAAAGACACAGCCAATCAGACACGCTCCAAGCTAATTCTTTGAGCCACAAAAACAGGACTACACTGAAAAACAGGCCAAGCTCCAACATCTAGAAACAAAGGTGTTGATGGCAGCAGCACAGCTGATATTTCTCTCCAGGATGGAGTCACAGCCAAACAGGAACAGACCAGATGAAGCTACTATGAGAAAGAAAATGCAGAGAGAACATAAACTTGTGAGAATAGAGATAGAATGAAAATAGAATGATGAAAAACTGGTCCCTATGTCCTCCAGCAGTCTAAGCCTATAGCAGCACAACTATAGAGATAGCTCAGGATAACCTGAGCCACTCTAACTAGAAGCTTTATCAAAAAGGAAAGTTTTAAGCCTAGCCTTAAAAGTAGACAGGGTGTCTGCCTCACGGATTAAAACTGGTAGTTGGTTCCACAGGAGAGGAGCCTGATAACTAAAAGATCTGCCTCCCATTCTACTTTTAGAAATTCTAGGAACCACTAGTAAACCTGCAGATTGAGAGCGAAGTGCTCTGTTAGGAACATAAGGAACAATCAGATCTCTGATATCAGATGGAGCTTGGCCATTTAAGGCTTTATATGTGAGAAGGAGGATTTTAAATTCTATTCTGATTTAACAGGAAGCCAATGAAGAGAAGCCAGGATAGGAGAGATAGGTGCTGAGTTCGAATCTAGTGGCTGCGTCCTACGAAGGCTAAATTCGTAGGCCGATTACATCCAAGGTGATTCAAGGTCTGTTCAGATTGCCGACAAATGCAGCCTTCTTTTTGCCCGAGTTGAAGGACAGGTCTGCTGTATCTTCCGTAGCCCTGGGTATTCCGTGATTCAATGTCAAGCAAGCCGGCTGCTCTGTGCTCAGGGGAAAAAGGGAAATGGCGCCAAACAGTGGTGAATATTGGAAGTTAGGTTTAATATAATACAAGTATGTGAATAGTTCTGTCTGAAATTAATGTAAATAGTTGTTAAATTGTTATTGAGTCAGATATGTGGCTTATTTATCTGTCTGTGTATAAATGGATCTGGCTTATATTTAAGGACAGATTCTAATATTCTAATATAACTGCTGGGTGGGGACTACATATCTGATATCTGAGACAACGGTACTGCTGCTGAAGCTCCTCAGAAATGTTATTTGTCATGATTTTGGTCCTGATGGAAGGCTTGGTTGGTCATTTCATTCACCTGTCTAGCTCTGCCATGTTTCTCATCACTGCTTTTTTAACCCCTTGGTTCTAGTCATCAGTGTCAGATTATTCTTGAGCCTTTGGTATTGGGAGTTTTCAAGCATTACTAATAGTGTTCTGATTGCCTGATCCTGACCCATTTCTTTATTCTGACTTTGGAGCCTGTCTGCCCCTGTCTGATCTGTTTGCCTGACCTGTCTCCGGACTCCTGTTGGATTCTTCTCTGGACTGAACCTGAATCTGTCTCTTTACTTCACCCCGTGGATTATCCTGTCTTCCTTCGTTTGCTTGAATCTGATCTCCTGCCAGTTCTGCAGCCTTCTAGGCTTCCGCATGTGGAACTCTCTAACAGTGCCCGCTGCGCCTTGTCAGCCGACCAACTGGAAATATCCTCGTTCTCTGGGCAGGGACTGAACTAAAAAAACAGACTTTCCGGCCATAGACGCCCCAGCCTCAGCTCCTGCTGATCCACAAACGATCATTGTTTTAATAAAAGCTTTTGAAGCTATCCCATTGTCTGTCTTGAGATCTCAAAGACTCCCCATTCCAAAGGGGTGGACCCGTTCTTCCGGTTCAATTTGCATGTTTTCTAAGCCAAATCAAGGCTTTGTTTTGGGCTACTCTACAAAGCCTGGAATTCAATGCTAATTCTGACATTTTGAATTGAAAAGCTTCCCGGATAGGAAGCGAAACGTCTTCAAACTTGGAAACAAAATCCAGGGGATTGTTTATTAACTTTTTCGGAATGACTCTGACCTGGATGACTGAACTTCCACAGCATACTCATTTGATTCACCTGTCTAACTCTGGTAACCTGGTTTCTCATTATTGCTCATCTGATCAAACTGTTCTTGCTTCTATTTAAGCTGCCTGCTACATGTCATCAGGGCCAGATAATTTTTTAGCCCGAGACACTAAGGACATTGCTCATGAACCAGTCTCATCAGGTAAGAGCCAGTAAGCCAGTGTTACCAAGCCAGTGGGGGAACTGTGTCAGTGTTACCTCATAGTTCCTGATTACCTGATCCTGACCAGTTCTGCCTCTGAACCACTGAGCCTGCCTATTCCCATCTGATCTGTTTGTCTGACCTGTCTTTGGACTCCTGCTGGATGCTGCTTGTTTCTTCTGGTTTTGAATCCTTAGCACGTCCTTGACACCTGCTTTAACTTCACGCTCTGGATTATCCTGTCTTCCTTCTTATGCTTGGATCTGATCTCCTGCCAGTTCTGTAGTCTTCAAGGCTTTAGCGTCTGGAACTCTGTGTGCGGCAACCCCTACGTCTTGTCAGCTGACCGACTGGAATCAACCTCATTACCAGGTTCCTGCCTTAGACGCCTTAGCAGCCGTTACCACAGATCCCTTTTTAAATAAACACTTTTTGAGTAATCCCATTATTTTTTTTCATGAATACTGGGCCCTCTGTTCTGAGCTTTGACAAAATCAATTAATCTTATTTATAAACAATCCCATAAAATCATTATTGCTAAGAGCAGGTGGGATAGACAGATCAGCAGAGCTATGGCTCTGGGTGAGGTTGGCAACTGGATTAAAAGAAAAATCCACAATTAATCTTATTCTCCTCCAGTGTTAATTTCGTCAACAATGAAGATGACAAAAATATTTCGTCAACGCCCCTTTTTCCCATGACAATGATGATAATGCACAAAAATTGTTTCCAGAAAATAAAAATGACGAAAATAAAAAATGATTTTCGTCAACGAGACTAAGACAGACAAAATTTACGATCCATTGACGAATGGACATTAAGTATGTATTAATGTAATGGTTTATAATTAATATGTAATTGATGATATAAGTGTTCCTTGAGCTTCATAGAAGATTACGCGTTGTTGCGCGGTTTGTCCCTACAGGGCGCCTGTCCCACAGTCCCTCGCGCCGCTCAGTCAGCAGCAGCATAGGGTTTATACTCCTAGCTCAACTTTGCAGTTATTGCAGATACCGGTGTGTGGTTTGTTACACAACGCCTGGATGTATGGAGCCATTTCGTTTACGATGCAAAGGAAAACACCGGAGGAAGGACGCCACCAAAGAGTCACAGAGCGAATCTCAAGCAATATCTGAGGTGCCGACATGCTGCCATATGGAGTAAGGTAAGGAACGGGTGGGCCTGTAGTAGTGGGAACCGGTGTGTGTGCGCACACAGGCACATGAATGTTAATGTATATGTGTGTGCGCGGGTGCGCATGTATGTGTGTGTTTGTATGCATGGGCGTGCATGCATGTGACTGTGTGTGTCTTCCTGTGCCTGTATCTGTCTATCTCTCTGTGATAGAAGAAAGATCCTCTACTGATACACTGTATATTAATCGTTTACATTTCTTCCTCCCAAATAGATACCTGATAAAGTGACACCACAGCCAAATCAGAGGTCAGGGAAGGAAGGGAAGTCTGTTGCAAAGATGTTGGGAGCCCCCCCCACCGTAAAAACCTGACTCCAAAGAGCAGAAAGCCCTGGAGAACTCAATGGCAAAGTGGACTGGGCGTTCTGGCCTCACTGCAGGGACCATTGAGGATGAAGACTTTGTGGATATGATGAAACAAGCCGACAAAAGGTTCAATATGTACAGTGTGATATATATTAAAAAGAGAATCAGAGCGTGCAGTGTTATATAAAGAAAATAAAGAAAAAGAGAAGCTGTGTGAAGAATTTTTATTCTGTACAGTGTGATGTATATATGTTTAAAAAAGCAGTGTGTGGAGAAGTTCTATTATTATTAAAGGTCAGAGAGGACAGGGTTAGGAGGAAATATTGTTATTTCTTTATATTCTATGCCATATGTCAGCACAAGGTCCAAAATATGAAGATGAGAATGTGTGGGACTATTCACATTTTGAACAAAGCCAATTTAAGGCTGCTTTTAAACTATCACCTTTCAATGTCAGCATGGATATTAAAATCCTCTGCTATGAAGTCCCTGATAGCATTCAACTACAAATCAGAAACTCTAAAAAAAGCCAGAAAAACAACAACAAAAAATTCAGAGTAAGGACCTGGTGGACAATACAAAGTTACATAAAGAAGAGGTTTTCTGGCTTTGCAATTTGGATTAGTGAAAACTAAGGGTTAAATCTTCAAAAGAGTTTTAATTATTAACTGCCTTTTGAGTAATCAGTAAGTCAGACTGAAAGATTGCTCCATATACTTTATACATGCTCCTTTTTCTACCTTTAGTATATCCTCTTTGATAATTTGAGATAATGTACAAGTAAATTACTCTACTGTGAGATTAATAAAGTCAATCAATGAATCACTTTCTGGGTATGCGAAAATTTTAATAACTAGAAGGAGT